AAATTAAAGTTAATTTTAATAATTTAATATATAAATAAATTCATCATTATAAAATTTATTAAAATGTCAATTTGAAATAAATAGAACATGGGCTTAATTAGAGTGTTTTAATCTAGTATACCCAGTGGGTCTTTGCCCATAAAATTGGGCCATGCAGAGCAGACCACTGCCGACAAATCAATTATATGATTTAAAATGAAGGTACTAAATGTTGGGTGGAGAGGTGTAAATGCACTGAGACATTAAGGAGATTTTTTTGGTTTATGGTCCAAGATTGTTGGATCAATTGAATGATAAAATAGGGATATATTTGACTTTTCATAAGGTGATCTATATATAAAAAGACTTATTTATCTTTGTTGAATTAAAAAGTAAAAAAATGATTTAATAGTGAGAGAGATAATGATTTCAAATTTTATTTAATTCTCTCTCTCATCATTAAGTCTGAAAATCAAATTTCAATGATATATTTTCATAACATTGGATTTGTTATTTGATTTGTTACTAAGAACAAATCCAATATTTTAATTTAATTATATGATAAAAGTTATTATAAACTTGATTCATGTCAACAATTATAAGTTTAATTATAATCAAGGCATTTGTGATAAAAATTCAATTTCAAACAATATCTTTATTGTTGTCGAAAATTGTTTCTAATACCGTGTTTCGCTCTCCTGATTTCATAGTTTCCTTTCAAATCAAATAATGAATAATGTTTTTCTTCTAACATGAAAATTAGCACTTATTAATAAACAAAACCATACCAAACGAAACATGAACACTTGGATTACAATGGTTGGCTTAATCGAATTTTAAGTTGTCTATGCATAGATAAAAAAATCTTTTTGTACAAAATCTATGAACATTCTCTGAATAGAGATTGAAAAATATATGAACACTTAATGCAGTGGTAGAGCAACGCATAGCCCGCAGCCCACCATTCATTGCCTAGATACCCTTCGACTATCTATGCAAAATGATGCGTCGCATTCTCTGAATAGAGATCAATAAATATATCAATATTTTCGTTCATTTTTAAAATTAATACAATCTAATTTTATTAAACAAATACAGAGATAATGACTTTTATCATAATGACTTAGTATACTCATTATATATGAGATTTTATATTTGATTACCTGTATAATATATTAAAACATTCTATACGAGACTTTACACATATAATATTGTGTATAATATATATATATATATATATATAATTGTGTATAATATAATTATATATATATAATATATATATATATATACTATATATAATATATATATATATAGATATATATATATATAATATATGATATATATATATATATTATATTATATAGAGTAAAATCTCTCTAAATCATAATGGTTGAATCAACTAATTTTATTACTATGAGAGATTATAACTTAATAGAGGTATAGTTACAAAAACTATTGTTTTGATTTCTTATTTTATAAGTTAGTTTAGTAATACAGTATTAGGATTTCAATTCAACGTTTCAATTGCCTATTTTGAAATAGATAGAAGATCATATTTGGAATCAGCAAAGATAAGTGTCATCGATGGAAGAATTGCAAATTAAGACCCACGAATCGAGTGCGATGAATTGCAAGTACAAAGAAGTGAATGAGGAGAAGAAAAGAGTCATTACAGAATGAGTGATCAGATTTGACAACTTCATACACTAACGAATGGATATTAATTTCTTCCTCGATCATCCAAATGACCAATAACTCATGTATGTTTTAATTGAAGAAGAAACTATTGTTACAATAGACAAAAAGAGAAAGGAAATAATATGAGGATGATAGTATGGAAATACAAAAAGTTTCGTGTCATGAGGTTCTAAACATGCTTGAGAAGCTAAAAATACTTGACTTCAACAAGAAGATGTCCATGCTAGCAAATTATTATGTACTCAAAAGTTAAAATATGTGATAACAACTCTAAAGCATAAATCATTGTCTTAAACAAACTTTAGATAAATATTTATTCATTTTTAAACCTTTAATGTAACATAAAATATATTTTGTGTAATATATATATAATATTACTATGTAAGGCAATTTCCTTAAGACGAAAATTAGAAAAATTTATAACTTATTACAATGTAGAGTTTATGTCTATTATAACTATCCCAAATTTAGACTATAATTTTTTATGACTATACAGAGTTTATTCCTATATAGAGTATCACTATAGAGAAGTTTTACTATTATATATATATTATATGTATATATATATATAATATATATATATATATATATATAGATATATATAACCATGATTAAGGTGATTAAGAGTATTTAAGAAAAAAATATTTTGTTATCAAGATTCAGAATACATTATACATAAAACATTAATATAGGAGAAACTTTTTTTTTACAGCTCTCTCTATTTTATCCACACAACATTCAGATCAATTACAAAAAACATTTTTTTATCCATCTTTCTCCTTTTTACCACACAACATTCAAATTAATATACATAAAACATTTTTATCCACCTCTATTTATTTTATCGCACAATATTCAGATCAACTACAAAAACATTTTTATACCAACATCTATTTTATCACAATATGAACTAACATATTCATTTGTTTGCAAAAATGAGATATGAATGAAAATGTGTTGAAATCATGTATTACAAACGGTTCTTATACTTGCAATAAGAGATACACTTACAACTTGGGTGATAAAGGTCCGACACATTGGCAATCATTAATATAAAAAATGGAGGACTTGTTCCAAGGGCAATTGCTCAGGATTTAGATGGTTAGTCAGGAAAGAAAGTGGCGTGTGACTGGTTGGCTACAGGGTATATTATCGGGTGGATATCAACAAGGAGATCAAATTGGGGGAGGAAAATCCTGAGAGATGTCCTTTACAAGTTCCTCATTCCCAAGATTCGTAGTGTTATAGATTGATAGTGGGAAATTGCCTATTGTTCCTTCCTCTAGTCAATTGGACTCAAAAGAAATAGAATAAGTTTTCATATTGTATTGAAGGTGTGATAATTCTTGAAGAACAAAAAATAAAATAAATAAAAATAAAATTATGGCCTTGTTGACAATATTATTACTTTTTTACTGATTTCTCCTTCCTATTTTCCCCTCAATAATTTTTATTTGGATTGCATTGGGAAGTGCATCCTTATTTCTTTTCCTTTCTTTGATGTTTGATAAGAAAATTGAGTAATCGGCCTTTTTCCCCCCAAATAATTGTTTAACCAAACTTTTTCACTCAAAAGTTTTTTTAAATACAATTTTATATTTAGACTATACAGCTGTTTTCGTGTGTGAAGAAGGTCAGAATGTTAAAAGTCGTTATAAGTAAAAAAAAATGGTCCATTCATTACTGCATCGAATAAAAAATCAAACAGTGGGTGGGCGTATTTCAAAGACAAGTGAATTGGTGGCCGACGGGGGGAATTGGCCGGGAAAATGGTACATCCATCCACAACAATAAGGGACTCCAAATACAATCAAAATCCTTTGAAAACAACTACAAAAAAAAAAAAAAAAAAAAAAACTCTAATCGGCTCTCAATCATGACTGTTTTGGCACAACCCAAAGGGCAATGGACGACGTTTGGTGAACGACCAGACGCGGGGGTTTTGTTAAGGGGGTGATGGTGACGCATGGGGTTTTTTGGCCATGGAATCAGTCGTGGGGGTGGTTCGCGATTTGGCTGGTTCAGCAAACTCAAACTTCCGTGAGCAAAACCTGCCAAACCACACGCCAAACTTCTCTTTCAACACAATCACACAAACACCACATAGTGATGAATAAAAAAATCATGACAACAGTGAAGATCAATAAAAATCATATAAAAAAAGCAATCAAACATCGAGTCTTCCCTCGGTCAACTTTGAGAGAAAAAAATCATATATGCATTATTCCTATATATTTACTAGCTAGGGTTGCAATATACCTACAAGTGGCTTCTTGTTGTTGCAACACGTGTCCCTCCCTCTATGATTAGGACAAGACCACAAAATATTATCCCATAATTTTAAAGTGTCAAACCACTTTTTAATTTTATCTTTGAGTAATGTTTGAACTCACAATCACTTTTCATCATTGTTTCATATATCAGGCAGCTCAAAATGGTTATTCAATTATCAAGTGAGATTTATTATAATATGAATAATTAGAGTTATCACGTTAGATTGTAAGAAAAAATTCGTGAAAAAAGATCATAAACATTTGATACTCTTTAAAATAATATTAAAAAAATAAAATTGAGTTAAATTGGATTATCAAAGATAATTATTAGTATTAAGAATTGAATAAAGTAGAATTAAATTTTAAAAATATTGAAATAAATATATTAAGTTTATGAATAAATAATAGAATAGGATGATAATAATAGGGCAAACGACCGGTAGATTATTGTTATCTTTATGGCAGAGGCCATGCTCTCGTTTTAACAATGGTGTGTAATATTAAAAGGAGTAAACTTGAAGATTATGAGGGTAATACAAGGAACTTTGTGGTTTTCTCAATTGATAAATATTTATTTCCTCATAATTTATATAAAGAAATCATACATAAATTATTTCGAGATACTTTCGGCCTCGCCAGCATTAAAATTTAAAATTTATTAAACGAGAAGCAAATATTGTTTGGTTGCTGCGGATAAAATTAACAATTAAATAACAAAAAATTAACAAGTAAATCTCATACTCAAGCACCTCGTCGGCTTCTTCTCAAGCATGTGATCAGTTCGTTTACTGTCTACCTCACCGACACTGACGGCTTTACTAAACAATTTTTGCTTCTCCTTCCCCAAAACTCCAAGAATAGAAAAGTCATTGCTCACATCAAAATATGTGAAGAAACTCTTCAACAATGGGACGAAATTTTTAATGCCAACAATTGCATTAGTTTGTCTATAAATAAAGTTGTTGAGAAAGACAGAAGAGAGAGATATTGATGAAAATGGTGGAGGAAGATGTGGTGAAGTGGTGGCAGGGATAGCAGGATTGGCACAGGGGTGGCTCTGCAAAGACTTGGAATTCGAGCATTAATATTAGAAAGATCTCCAGAACTCCGAGCCGCTGGTGCTGCCTTAACCCTTTTCCCAAACGCTTGGCTTGCTCTTGATGCTCTTGGTGTTGCTCATAAGCTCTCTCCCTTTATTTTCCTTTAAAGACGTAACTTAAACTCCCCACAACCTTTTTTTTTTTTTTTTTTTTTGTGTGGTGTGTGGTGTGTGTGTAAATAATCCGATACTGAATGATTACATTGTGATAAATACAGGGAAGTTGTCACCGATGTCGGAACTGGAGCTACTCAGGCAATCTCCTATGCTGGAACTACAGAGAGCGGGTGAGCTTAATTTTTGAAAATATTTAATTAAGAAGATTCTAGATGTCGAGAGTTTAAAAAGAAATACCAGCTGTTCGTTATTCTTAAACTAGATGGCCATGAAACAGGCTTGGAGCTGAACCAGATCAGTTCATCGGAAAACCTTATAGAGCTGGCAGAAGAGTTGCCGGTTTGGTGCAATCCAATACTCTTCCCATATTGATGCTATTGAGACACAATCACAGGAAGATTCTTCCATTGCTGTCATACATTTGAGGGATGGTACTATATCAAATCCAAGGTAATTAACTACCATCTTTTCGTTGTTAATTATGTGATTAGTTTTAGGTTCCCCGTAATAATTGTTGCTTCGGTTTTAGATTCTGATAGGATGTGATGGTGTACATTCGATTGTGGCACGCTGGCTAGGACTTGGACACCAGTCGATTCAGGAAGATCCGCTGTGCGTGGACTAGCTGTGTTCCTGATGGCCACGGCTTGAAGCAAGAGGTAAAACAATTTTTAGATGTAGGCCTAAGAGCCGGATTAGTTCCTCTCAATGACAAAGAGGTCTATTGGTTCCTCACTTGTCAATTTTCCCCAAAGGTTCGCTTTCTTCCCAGCTCCATTTTATGATCATTTGCTATTAGTTTAAATGTGTAAAGTATCAAAAATCTCTGATTGCCTTAAGGGACGAAATGACCATTTGATATGTCTATCTTTGTTTCAGAAGAAATCATGGCAGGAGATCCAGATCAATACGAAGAGAGTACTTGAGAGCTATGTGAAGGACTTCCCTGAAGTATACAAAGATATGGTCGCCATTGCGATCTTTCAACATTGAATGGGCTCCTGATGGTTAGGTATCCATGGGGCATCGTTTTCGGCAAGTTAAGCAAGGGAAACACACGGTGGCCGGCGATGCAATGCACCCCATGACACCTGACCTTGGACAAGGTGGCTGGTCACATTGGCAATTCATTAATAAAAAACGGAGGACTTGTTCCAGGGGAAATTGCTCAGGATTTAAATGGTTATGTTCAGGAAAGAAAGTGGCGCGTGACTTGGTTGGTCATAGGTTCATATTTTTCAGGGTGGATTCAAATGGCTGGGACAAATTGGTGGATGAAATTCGTGAGAGATGTCTTTTACAAGTTACTCTTTAGCAAGATCTTTAGTGCTGTTAATTATGATTGTGGGAAATTGCCTAATGTTCCTTTCTCAAGTGAATTGGGCAACCCAAAGAAAACAGAATAAGCTTCGTTATTTTTGAAAAACTCATTTATTTACTGTATAATAAATATAGTTTGGATCAGAAGAACAAAATAATTAAGCTGATCCTTACCTGTTGTTGGAATAATATTTGAAATAAAATGGATTCTTAAATAGTAGATATTATAAATACAACGATAAACATGCTTATGGAACATACTTGATAAACATGCTTGAAAATGACAATCTAATTGACCTTTATAAATACAACGATAGTTGGTTCTATATATAAATGTCATGTGCACTCCAATATGCAAAATCGCTCTGCTGTTTTTATGGAACATAATTTACTAAAAATCAAAAGTTTTGAGGGATATGAGAAGTCACTCAACCAAGGAATTGATACCTTCATTTGTACTAAAAATTATGTTGGTTAGTCGTTATTAGATGTCATAAAGTCAATCATAAAACATTATAAATACAATAAAACTCCCAAATTATTATGTACAATAAAAAACCTCCATTGTATTACATTTTTAGTAGAATCATCGTAATTGTATTTTGCAATAATTAATAAAAATAAAAAAAGCAATACCTTTCAATTAATTTTTTACGAGTAAAGATACTCATAGTATTACACCCCACAATATATAATTTTAATAAAAAAAAATATTTGCATGAATTTCACACAATATATAATTTCAAACAATGGTGAAACTAGCTATTGATTGACCCGGCTACAAGTGATAATTTTTTTTAAAAGATTAGTCAACCTTTTCTTAAAAGTAGGGTTATACATCTTATGGAGTCTTACAATTTTCAGTTTTATAAACTTAATAGATTTCCAAATTGTAAAACATTTATATTCCAACATTCATATAAAAGTTCATAATATAATCAATTATAAACATGTTAAATACTCATGGAATATTGCGGAAGTAATTTACAAACCTCCAGACGTCCCGCCAAAGAAGTGCTCATTTGAACTACATGATCCTTGAACATCTTTAGTGACATGTCTTTTGTTAGAGGATCATCCTTGAACATCTTTAGTGACATGTCTTTTGTTAGAGGATCAACAATCATCTGCTCGGTATGTATGTGTTCAATGAGCACTTCTTTGGCTTTAATGTGCTCCCTTATTGCTAAGTACTTAATGTCAATGTGTTTACTTCGACTTCCACTCTTATTATTCTTAGCAAAGAATATAGCAGTTGAATTGTCACAACACAACCTTATTGGCCTAGAGATAGACTCAACAACTCTAAGCCTAGAAATGAAACTTCTCAACCAAATACCTTGTGTAGTGGCCTCAAAACTGGAAACAAACTCACGTTCCATGGTAAAAGTGGTAACCAAAGATTGTTTGGTACTTGTCCAAGATATAGCACCTCTGGCTAGCATAAAAACATATCCGGATGTTGATTTCCCAGAATCAACACAGCCAACCAAGTCTGAGTCTAAATATCTGACGACTTCTAAAATGCCGGACCGTCTATAAGTAAGCATGAAACATTTAGTTCCTTGAAGATACCTCATGACCTTTTTTGCATCTCTCCAATGATCCAAACCCGGATTACTTTGATATCTTCCTAACATGCCAACTGCAAAAGCAATGTCAGGTCTAGTACAGACTTGAGCAGACATTAGGCTTCCAACAGTTGAAGCATAAGGAATAGTTTTCATTTGTTACTTTTCAATCTCAAGTGTGGGACATTGGTTCAGATTGAACCTGTCACCTTTAACAATGGGTGCAACACTGGGTGAACAATCCTTCATCCTAAATCTCTCAAGAATTTTATTAATATAGGTTTCCTGAGATAGTCCCAAAACATGTTGAGACATATCCCTATGAATCTTAATGCCAATGACATAAGACGCCTCACCCATATCCTGCATACTAAAATGTTGAGAGAGAAATTGTTTCACCTTATGCAGCAAACCCAAATCATTGGTTGCAAGTAGAATATCATCTACATATAACACAAGAAAGATGATTTTACTCCTACTGACCTTGTGGTATATACACTGATCCATGACATTCTCTACAAAACCAAATGAAGAGATAACAGTGTGAAATCTTAAATACCATTGTCGGGAGGCTTGTTTAAGTGCATAAATGAACTTCTTAAGCTTGCAAAACAAATGCTTACCATCACTTGAATTGAACCCATCAGGTTGTTTCATATAAACCTCTTCCTCCAAATCTCCATTGACAGGTTGTTTCATATAAACCTCTTCCTCCAAATCTCCATTGAGGAAAACTGTTTTCACATCCATTTGATGTAAATCTAAATTGAAATGGGCAACTAATGCCATTATGATGCTGAAGGAATCCTTTTTAGAAACTGGAGAAAACGTTTCTTTATAATCTATCCATTCCCTTTGTGTGAATCCATTGGCAACAAGTCTAGCCTTATATCTCTTAATGTTGCCTAATGAATCCCTTTTGGTTTTAAATACCCATTTACAACCAATAGGTTTCTTTCAAGTAGGGAACTCAACAAGGTCCCAAACTTTATTATCCGCCATAGAATTCATCTCGTTAATCATGGCATTATACCACAACTCAGATTTACTAGTGTCCATAGCTTGTAAAAACTTGTCTGGGTCATCCTCAACACCTATGTTACAGTCAGACTCTTCCATATACACTTCATAATCAGTAGGAATTGTTGATTTCTTTGTTCTAGTAGATCTCCTTAATGTTGTATCAACAGTCTCTTGTTGAGACTGTTGCACAACTAGTTGTTCCTCTTGTGGTGGAGGTTGTTCAAAATGATCCTCTAAAACAATCTCATAAGAACGTGGACTTTGATTGATTGGTTCCTCATTATTCACCCTGTTTGGACGAACAACCAATCTTTTACTTGATGTAGGAGCATTATCTGAAGCATCAATTTTCTCAAGGACTAAGTCTCTGATTTGATCACTCCCACTAACCACGTCATTTTCAAGAAATGAAATTTGGCATTTCTTGATTCAACAATTCTACTGGAATGGTTTGGACAATAAAACTTATATCCCTTGGATTTTTCCACATATCCAATAAAATATGCACTAATAGTCCTAGGATCTAACTTCCGTTCTTGTGGATTATAAACTCTAACTTCAATTGGGTAACCCCAGACGCGTAAATGACTTAAACTTTGTTTCTAACCTTTCCATAACTTGAATGACGTTTTGGGAACCGCCTTAGTTGGAACTCGGTTTAATATATACGCTACAGTTTTGAGAGCTTCAATCCACAAAGAATGCGAAAGTTTAGAGTTACTCAGCATACTCCGTACCATATCCATTAATGTTCTATTTCTCCGTTCTGCTACACCATTCTAAGATGGTGCGCCAGGCAAGGTGTACTGAGCCACAATACCTTGCTCTTGAAGAAATTTAGCAAATGGACCAAGTGCTTGTCATGTACTAGTGTATCTACCATAATATTCACCACCTCTATTAGATCTCACGATCTTAATTTGTTTTTCACATTATTTCTCTACTTTTGCTTTATATATTTGGAAAGCATCCAACGCTTCATCCTTATGATAAAGCAAATAGAGATACATATATCGTGAGTGATCATCAATAAAGGTGATGGAATATTTCTAACCACTAGAGCTCATGTCAGGGCAACAAATATCTATGTGTATGATCTCTAAAAGTTCAGAACTCTTTCTGGCACCCTTCTTGGATTTGTTAGTCTGCTTTCCCTTAATGCAATCTACACAAGTATCTAAGTCAGTAAAGTCAAGAGTTTCAAGAACTCCAGCATTTACCAACCTTTTAATCCTATCAATGGAGCTGTGTCCTAATCTCCTATGCCACAAAAAAGAAGAGTTTTCATAAATAAAAGTAAGTTTAATACCAATACTAGCATGTGAAGTCATAAGACTATAAGGAACAATATCACTTAAATGAATTTTAAACAAACCATCAACCAAAGTACCATTTCCAACAATAGATGAGTTCTTAATTAAATTAAAAGAACTACCATAAAAGTTGAAAGAGTATCCACAAGGTACAAATTTAGAAACTGAAATTAAATTCCTAGAAAAACTAGGAATATAAAAGGTTCATTCCAAATCCAAAATATAATTAGTGCTTAAAATAAGTCTAAATGTTCTAACAGCTTCAACACGTGAAGACATCTTGTTTCCCAAATAGATGCTGCATTCACTTCCCAACGGTTTCCTTTGATTCAGAAAACCCTGTATGGTATTAGAAACATGGATTGTAGAACTAGAATCAATCCACCAATCATTATGTGAAACACAAATCATATTAAATTTATAACACACAAGAGATGTGAGGTTACATTTCTTGTCAAGCCAGACATTTCTTTTAGGACAATCCTTCTTCATGTGTCCCTTCTTTTTACAGAAGAAACACTTGATGTTGTCCTTATTTCCTTTGCTCGTAACCTCATGCAGCTTGCCTTTTCCTTTCCACTTCTTATTCTTGTTTGAAGTGTACTTGACATTTCCCTGTCACCAGATGTGTGGTTTCATTCATTTTCTGAAGCAGTCTCTCCTCCTTTTGAACACACATGGTCAAAAGCTCATTGATTGACCTTTTATCCTTTTGTGTGTTATAAGATATCTTGAAATGAGTATAATGAGACGAGAGAGAGTTCAGGACATAGTGCACTAGGAAATCATCATTAATCACCATCCGAAGGGATCTCAACTGAGCAGCGATGTCCCTCATTTTCATAATATGGTCACGAACTCCTTTAATACCGGTGAGCTTCATGGATGTCAATCTACTCATTAGGGTGCTACCCAATGCCTTGTCTGATGTTTCAAACTAAGCATGAATTGCATCCATCAGATTCTTGACATTTTCACACTCCGGTATCGACCCATGAATATTACTCGTAATGTGAGATTTGATAAACATCATGCTTAAACGGTTGGATCGCTCCCACCGTTTATACAAAGCAACCTCAGCCTGAAAACTAGTATCCGTAGGTGTAGGTGGCTCTTCCTTATGAAGAGTATAGTCAAGATCAATGCACCCTAAATGAAGAAGGACAGTCTCCCTCCAAGATTTGTAGTTATCACTATTTAAATAAGGAACCTTATCCTCAACCATCATCAAGGTTTGATCAACTGTAGGTATATTAACAGACATGCTTACTAAATAAATTATGAGGCACAAACCATCAACAACAATTATAAGTTTACCGATGTAAAACAAATAATAAATAATAAATGAATCGACATATCATAAAATCCCCCTGTGAGTAAAGACATTACATATTATGATTCTTTATCCTTTAATGATGAAACTAGAAATTATTAATATTTCATAATACCTGTGGGCTAATTAAGAAATAAGACTAATTTCTATTTCATCCCTAATTAATCATGAAAATATAACATTCCCTATGGGTAAAATGATTATATTAATATGATTAACTACAAACGATGTTATTAACTTTGATATGATCATAATTAATATTACTTAATGTATATATTATCATAACTTAGATGTTGTGGCTACTCTAAATTAATCAAATATATACGATCATAAAACATCATATAGTATTATTGCATACAATACAACATAACATAAATCAATACAAGAATAACACATTATTTATGTATAACAGACTAATACATGACATAAAAACCATCACACGCGCTGTCACCGACTCCCACGCACCACTGTGACTAAACCACGCACAACCACGTATCCCCACATGCCTTCACGCGCCTCCAGAAGGCAACACATCCTTGCACGCGCCTTAACTGCCCTACCACGTGCCAAAACACACCGCCTCCACGCGCTTAGCGCAAGCACACGCACCTTCACTTTGACCGGGTCTGTTTTGACCTTTGACTTTGATCGGGTCAGTTTGACCAGTTTTATCCTTAACTGGGTCGATTTGACCCGTTTACCCAATTGGGCCGGTTCTTCTTGACTCGTTTTTTTGTAACTTTTGACCCATTTTATGCAGATTTTAACAGCCTGATTCCGGCCATTTTTCCGATGTTTTAGAGGGGAAACTTGAATGTGGGTGTATGACCTATGTCGGTGACATCCCAAATGAAATTTTCATCCCAAATCGGTGCCGTAAATGGCTACCAAAAACACCCAAACGATAATTTTAACCAAAACTTTAAACTAGCATAACTTTGCAACCATAACTCTGTTTTTAAAGCTTTTTCAACAAGGATTCCAATGACACCGAAATCAAAAACAGATTCTATTTATAATAAAAGTTATGCTTGATTTATAGTACGGGTTTTAATTGGAAAAAATCCTAATTTTATGCAATATTCTCCAAATTTGCAACAAACAATTTCATGCTAGGCAGAGATTCAAATAAATGCTCTGATACCAAATGTAAAACATTTATATTCCAACATTCATATAAAAGTTCATAATATAATCAATTATAAACATGTTAAATACTCATGGAATATTGCGGAAGTAATTTACAAACCTCTAGCCATAGCAATTGTTATTTTAGTATTCTTGCTTCTGTCACTTCAGAATACAGATTCTTCCACTGACAACAATTTTTCAGAGCGATGGTTTTAGGGAATCAAAAGAATTAATTGCGTCAAATAGGGACTTGTAAAATCTCCTTTATAAATGCAGTTGTCTTTCCATCAAAGACAATTGCCCAGGAGAAACAACCACATGTAACTACTCAGCAGTTACCCATTCGCTTTATATTAAAAGTGTAGGACCAACCCAATTAAAGAATTCTAATATAATTAAAATAAGCTAAGAAAGAATATTATAAAATCGATATAGTAATCTTAAATTCTCATTTATTTATTAATACAAATTTCATAATCCTCACATTATAAGAAAAAATAAAATTTAGTTCATATATATATATATATAAAGACCATAGCCCATAAATACATAAGACAATTACAACTAAACTTTGTATCATTCTTTCTCAATCAATAAATATTTCCTTACAAAGTTATGTATAAATTAGTATTTTTCCGAAAAAACTTTCCATCCTCTCCAAAATAAATTTCTTTTTCACCCCTTTCAATATTTTTAATTATAAAATAAGAAGCAAATATTGTTTGGTTGCATGTGGATGATATTAACCAACAATTAATATAACCTTATAGTTAACTTCTAATAAAATATGTTGTAAGAGTCAATGATTCCTTCCCTTCTTCGCAGACTCAATCATGGCGGCTTTTCTTTTACTTAATAATTTAACTCAAATTATTAAGTAAAGTAATAAAAATCTTATTGAGTTGTTGGAACGTATATTATTTAAAATTAATAAAAATATATCATATTACCCTTCAATCATTTATTTTAATATCTAAAATTTAATGACAGAAATTTTTAATTATTCAGTAACCTCATAAAGAATTTGATTCAATCATACATCCTTCTTTTTCCAAGGCTCCAAAATCTAATAAAGAAAAGTCCCACATGATGTCATTGCTTACATTTTATTGAAATATTAAAAATTAAAAAATTTACAAGTTATTTGTATAGAACAAAAATACCCTTACATCATTTAGTAGAATGTAATCGGTTTTGTATTACAAGGATTGAAGTGGCTTTTCAATTTTACTGGACCTAATTAATTCTTGAGTAGACGACTTTTTCCCGCCCAAGGTTTGCCTCAATGACACGTTCCACCCAAAATTTTCAAAATACCAATTTACTATCCAAAGTTTGTATTTCGTATACTATCCATAGTATACTTTCTGATTCGACGGCAAATGGAGAGAAAAACTGGTCTAGACCATTAGGGCTTTTGAAGAGGGGATGCCGGTGAGTCTTTTGGTGGTGGTGGGTTGAATTTTGGTGGTTGGGAGTCGAAATCTGACTTGAGAGGGGCGGTTGCGCATTCCATATATCGTTTAATTTTTGGCGATCGACGGGGTCAGTGGGAGCAAGGTTTGAGGGGTTTTGGTGAGTGATAATCAAGGAAGAGAATAATAGTGGTGTGGCGTCATAACGAGACGGAATCAGCCGACGATTGGTTGGAATATAAACTTTGGGTAGTAAATTGGTATTTTGAAACTTTTTGAGAGGAAAAGTTTAGTAAGGCAAACCTTGGGTGGGATAAGTCGTCTACTCTTGATTCTTTCATCAAACCTTAGGGACCAAAATGTCATTAACTCTTGGCCTCGAAACTCGAAAGTCTACCCTTTAAAATTTATTTATCCAAGAAATGGTGGTGGAAGATGTGGTGATGGTAGGTGTAGGGATAGTCGGGCTGGCCACGGCGGTGGCCTTGAAGAGAGCAGGAATCCAGGCCTTGGTTTTCGAAAGATCTAAGGAGCTTCGAGCCGTCGGTGCAGCTTTAACCCTCTACCCCAACGGCTGGCTTGCCCTTGATGCTCTTGGTGTTTTCCACAAGTTCACTTTCAGTGAATCTCCTTCTAAGAGGTGATTCATTTCTTCTAATTATTTTCTCTAATTTTCCTTTGATTTCTGATTTAATTTGTTTTTATTGAATAATATTTATTGTCTTAATGATGTAGGACTTCAGATTAAAAATATGTCCATATTAATATTGTTCTTATTAGTAAGATTAAGTATCATAACCCAATTATTGGGATACTGTGACTTAATTTCCAAATTGTTTCCTTGCAAAATTGTATTATCAACTATATACTTAATTCTGATGATTATTTAGGGCAATAATAACCGATCTTGGAAATGGAGCTGAGAAAGAAATCAAGTTCACTGCAGCCAACAGGTAAATTTGTTTACATTAACGACCACTTAGCTTTATTTGTTCTCTTTTTTCACTTAATTGTTGAGACATGTAAGTTGTAACTCGAAGTGCTATGAAGATCATTGGCCCTTTTTTTTTTTTTTTTAACTAATTTATCAAGATTGTAAGTGAACCCAGAACAATAAAATGGAAAACCTTGTTAGAAGTGTTGGCAAATGAACTACCCATTGATTCTATTCGCTTCTCTTCCAAGGTTGCTGCCATTGAAACACAAACACAAGAAGGTTCCTCCACTGCCATCCTTCATCTGGATGATGGTACCATTATCAAAACTAAGGTAAAATCAGTTGATTTAGCAAGAAGTAGTTAGGTCCATACAATTAGCTAGAAACTAATTTCAGAGCATTATATTAAATTGGCAACCTCATCATTTACACATCAGAGTCACTAGCAAAACTTACGTGAGACAATCTCACCATCTCACTTTACTGATTTGATAAGATCGTATTATTAATTTATGGGGTGTTTAGGTTTTGATAGGGTGTGATGGGGTGCATTCAATGGTGGCACATGTAAGAACAGCATGCATGAATGAAGAGTGGTGGAAATAGAGAAGAAAGCATAAAAGGATGGATTCAAAAACCGTTTTTCATACAAAGCATGGAAATGAAATTATACCTACTCCTTTGCTTTGGATTGATGAAGATTAGCTTCAAAAGGATGAAACCTCCACACTTTAACACCACCTTGAGAGATTAGAGAGTGGTCGTGGGTTTGAGAGAGAGTTTTGTGTTTTTGTGAACAACTCAAGAATGAACTAAAATGCAACATTTTGCACTTATATATACTTGGGCAATTTTGCAATTATTTATTTTTCACTTCAGAGCCCAATAAAATCTTATTTTATAAAGGGACCCCACGAATTTAATATGCTACCCTTTGAATAATCAATATTATTCAAGGGCCCATGTAAACTAAACTAGTTTACATTAACAACCCATAAATTTACCCCTTTT